ATAAAAAGGCCGTATACACATATAAAGCCTAGCTTGTCATGGATAGAATTGTACTTGTAGATAATCTGTATTTTTGTGAGGGTGACCACTTTGCTTATTTTTTAAAAACACTTTCTTAATCTACATGAGAGAATATCTTCCTTACCAGAGCCACTTTTTAACTATGTCAGAGGTTGGGGATTTCTTCATCAACAAGTGGAAGGAGCAGGGAATGGACAATCTCAGAATAAGAAGTACTGATGAAGATAAAAATCTCATCAGTGAACTCTAAGTTATCTTTAGGTGATTTTTAAAAATTCTGAGTTGTAAGGCATACACACATGGAAAAACTATGCCTAAATATTATTACTTACTATAGTTTTTGACTTATCCAAAAGCTCTGTTAACTTTGAAAGTGTAACTGAACTTTTCAATCAAGTTAAATGATTTTTCAAACTAATTTTAAGAAGGAAAAATCCTTTTCTTGACCACAAGTGATGGAATTTGGCAGAAAACACCTCATTTTGGTGACATATTGCTACATTTCCATCAACTTAAATCTCAGATCTCCAAATGAAACATTTTAATAATTCCATGTAATGTACCAAGAGTGCTAGGCATAGATAGATACATTTATAGTCACAATTATTACATAGAGAGAAGTATTAATGAATACTTGGAAATAAATTGACTAAAATCAGATACTTAAACATATTTCAGATGAACAATATGCAATTTATCCTGGCTCCCTCAAATCATTTTTGGAACAAAGTGGAGTGTAATTAAAAAAAAAACAAACATCTAGGAGCTAATGAATTGTCCTCCTCTGATCTGGATTTTTAATGCTTCACTTATTTTAATTGTCCAGTGTCCTTTTATAGATAATAACCCATACATTTAATCTCATATTTTTTTTTCTGTGTAGTATCGTAAGACAATCTCATATAGGAAAATTCAAACTGAACTGATAATAAATGGTGATATTTTGGCTTTAAAAAGATTCTTCAATTTTGAAAACAAAAAGGATCACATATTTCTGTATTTCAAAACCATATTTTGGTGTTTCAGGGTTTTGCTTAAATTGATCAATCACAGCAATTTATTAAAGTGTTACAGTATTTCTACAAGGGTGGCCTGACATTTAGGAACACAAATTATATCATCAGCTTAGGATTCAAAGGAAGATTGCACCTTTTATTAGCTTGAGTTAGATATCTAACTTTGTTTTCTCATCTGTACAATAGAAATAACATCAACCACATAAGGCTTTTATAGGAATGAAATAATATAATAAATTTTTAAAAATCAGAACAATACCTGACACACAGCAAATGCTCACCATATTGTAGTAGATACTAAAATTATCATGGGTCAAATGTTTGATTTGTCTATATATACCACTTGCAAGTGCCAGCATGTTGAAAAGAGTAAAAATGATGGACTGGGGTTTTTCATTTTATGCCACATCCTTGGGGAGCCTATATGGAAAAGTAGTATTTAATATTTTATATTGCATACTGTGAGGACTATCTGCAGACGATTATTTCATGGTCCTCCCGGAGTGCCAACTCAGAAGTGCAATCACAAAGAAGGCCATTTGATCACCTTACCCAAATTAGAATTAATTATAGTCTCTTAAACACAGTTTTCTTTAGATGTATTGAAATATATATTTATCTGGTAGGCACATTTTGAGCACATAATAATACCATTCCAAGTTTTACATAAAAAGAGCTTACCGTCGATTTCCATGTACATTTCTCTATTCAGCAGCTTGTTTAAGGAAGACAAAACAATTTATATTTTGAAAGATACAGCCAAAAGACTTTAATTTTCCATTTCTTAAACCTTCTGATTTGGTGGTGGTGAGGCTGTTCTAAGCCATTTCTGGCTTTTTGTCTTAATGAAAACCTAAAATAAAATTATTTAAGCTAAAAAATTGCTAACATGGAATTTTAGGTAGAAGAAATTTGCAACTTCTACCAGAATGCTCAGGCATTAAAGATTTTCCTCTAAGAAAAACTTAGAGAAATACATTTCCTCCACAAACAACTGAGCTCACTAAGGTGTATTCAATTTTGTCAGAAAGTGCATGTTTCTTTATACAGATCTTACCAAATCTCTCAGAAGGTGGTGTCTTTGTTTCCCTTGGGCTTAATGTCCTTATTATAGTTCCATTGACTCACTATGACTTGTACTGTTGCTGACTTAGTGTGAGAGTTTGGGTCATATACAATGAGACATTTACAAAGTATTATTTTTAAACCTAATTTCTGAGCATATCTTCCAGAAAACCAAAGAACATAGCCCCCCAGATACTTGTTATATATCTTACTACATAATGTAGGGAATAAAGGGGAAAAGGTGGCACCAGACTGATATCAGTGGTGTGCTCTATTACTTCTAAGAGGTAAAATAATCATTAATGTGAAACGATGAGGCTTGGTCCAAAATGCCAAGTAAATAGCATAAACAAAGAGCTGTCTCTCAACTAAACTTTTACTCTGTATGAGGTCATTTGTCATACTCTACACAAGTGCAACTTTCTGTGAGATATGAGGCAGCATTTTTCTGCCCTGGGACAGCAGCAGTTGGTAGGTCATTCTCCTCCAACATACTGCCCCTACTTCCTGTGCAATATAACCCTTTCTCTCCCTGAGTGATTTTATAGATCATTTAAGGGAAGGATCTATAGATGGTGAATCTAACAAGTCTAAAACTGCATCTATCTCTTGCCCCATAAATAAAAAACCATGAAAAATCTCTCCAGGTGAAATGTTCCAATATCTTCCTTTCTGAGATCTATCTGAAAATTAAAGGTTTAGAGACAGACTCATAGAGAGCAGGCTCACAGCTGGGGGAGGAGGGTGGAGGGAGTGGAAGGATTGAGCAAAAAAGGAAAAAAAGAGAGAGAACTCATAGACCCAGACAACAGTGTGGTGACTGCCATGGCAGGCGGTGGGTGAGGGTGGAAGAGGGTACAGTGGGGATAAATGGTGATGAAAGAAATTGAAGGGTTTTAAGTCTATACAATTTGTTGATCTCTGCATTATTTTATCAGGGAAACTCTACTTTCAGAATATTTTTTATTGCCTACATAGAAAGATATTTAACTGACAGAGAGATTGGGGTGGTGGTGCTACATTATTAAAGGAATAAGGTAGATTTTGTAATCCTTGAATTTAAACCTAGTCAGAATATTTAAAACAAAAGCTTTAAAGAATTATCAGTATTTTTCCAGTATTAAAGATAAATAAGAAAAATTTAATCCAATGAATTTTGGGTTTTCTGAGACCATGGTATTAACATAAACTTGGCCCTTTGAAGAACAAAATAAAGCACATAAACTTTAGATTTTTTCAGAGTGATAAAACAATAATACATTCATAATTATTGCTGTGAAAATTCAAGATATTTAACTTCAGCATATTAATGCACTGCTTTTTTTTCTTTTTACAACTAAATAATGTGGATCAAAAGTGTGATCCAATTACTCTTAATGCTTCACAAGAGTGGCTTGTTTTATTCATTTGTAGAACTGTTTCATTGCCATAATATTCAAGCATGCTGAGGTACCATAAGAACTTCCCTAATTGCTTGAGTGTAGCTGACCATTTTTTGAATCTCAGATAAGGTACATAATAGGCAAAGGAGAGCTAAATTAAGTGGCAACAGCAATATGTATCCACCAAACAAAAGGCTCCTCCTCCAACAGCCTTAAACGGCCTCATCAAACCGAGAGAACCTTTCCTAATATTTTCCAGTAGGGGGAACTAAAGACTCACCATCCAGCATTTAGCTTAGCTGTGGGACCTGGACGAGTTCCTATAACCCCTTCTAATCACCAGAACAAGCATCAAACAGCTACCAGCGAGCCTGTGATCACACGTGGGCCTGGCTACACTGGCCACACCAGCGACAACGCAGACCCTGGCATCCCTTTGATCTAACATGCCCTTCCTTAACCATCCCCTGTCCTAAATGGCATACACTCTGGATTTTGCCATCCTTGGGCTGGAATCTCGTCTTTTTCTCTTTGCTCATTTGGGTTTTCAGCTTCCGCCATCCTGGGTTTTCCGATTGCCCTCTGAAGAGGTACCCTCTTTCCCCTGAAGGGTAAGGGGTTCGGGTACCCACATCCCCAATCTTTCGTATTCCTTCTCCCATCTTAAGCATCTTCTGCTTAACTCCCTTGCATCCCATAACCCGCGTCTAACTCTTCTTTGAAGGGTCAAAACGCAGCTGAGTAACAGAAGAGGAAATGCCACCCCTTTCCCTCCCCACTCCCGGGGATTCCTCAGGGGTTCATAGATCTTGGCTAAAACAAGCCGGTGGAGGCTAGAGACTACTGTACTCCCTTCCTTTTTTCTTGTACCTTTTTAACGACAGAGGAAGCACCCACGCACAACCTTTCCGCTCCAAAAGGTGGTTATATTTTGTTTCCTTTCTCTTTCTCCCTCCCGCTCAGCTTTTCATTTTGCTAAAAGGTGGAGTGTATTTGTGTGATTTTAACGGGTAATGAGGCTGCGCCCTGGGTCCTGGAAGATGATCTTTTTCCAGAATGCGCGTGCATCCCCGGCAGACAGAGGGATGAATAATTAGGAAAGGCTCCCATGAAATCACTCACCGAGAAAATTACCTGCCCATTAAAAGGGACGTGGCGAGGTGCAGGAGGCTGGAGCCCACCTATCCCTCCCGAGGCGGGAGGGAGGGGAGCGAGTTGGTGCACAGAAGGGAAAGACTTGACCGGTGGCTTCGGCTCCGAATTTGTTAATTTCCATCCCTCCAAGACTCTGGGCTCTCTTGCTCACCCCCTTCGCATCACTGTCCAGCGGGCTGGCGCCCCCTGTATTGGCGAGTGACGGAGTGTGGAGGTGGAGGGCTCAGCGCACCCCCTCCTCCCCCCACCCCCCTCCCCGGGGCTGACTCCTAGCAGCTTTCATTTCTCCCCTCCCCTCCCGCCTCCTCGCTTTTCCTCCTCTAAAGTCCTTCCACCGCCGGCAGCTGCAGGAGGAGGCGGACGCTCCGCTGCGGGGCCGCAGGAGTAGCGGCAGCGGCAGCGGCTGGAGAGGGGGCGCCGGCGGCGGGACCTAGACCAGCGGCTGGACCGCGCGCTCCCTCTCTCTCCCGCTCCTCTCCCAGCTCGTCGGCTTGCTGGCTGCGCTCTGCTCTCACCGGCAGCCGACGGGGCTCCCAGTCCCTCCGAGGCGACCCCGCGGGGGTAGCCACAGCCTCAGCTCTGCCCCTCCCTCTTTCCCTCCGGGCAGCCCCACCACACAGCACTTCGCCTTCTGTCCCCGAGTCGTCGGGATTTCCCTTTGCCTCTCTTTGGAAACGAGAGAGGTGGAAGGAGGCAACGCGGCGGCGAAGCAGAGGCCCGCCAAGTCGGCCCGCGTGCAAAGTGTTGCTCTGACACATCCTGATTGTGGAAGTTAAGTGAAAAAACTCTGGACGTGGAGCTGCTACCGAGAAGGAGACCGGGGAGAGAAAACCAGTAGGCAGGCCATTGGTTTTTCCGGCAGCGTGCTGGCAAGTTTGTGGAACACTTTCTAGGAATTAGGTCTGTTTCCTCTCCCTTCATCTTCTTGACTTCTGAAGAAAGAACTTGGCTTTGGATTGCAGTGGAGCCTGAGGAGTGAGGGGTTAGACACACTTGAATAATCCCTCCAACTGGGCTGAATTTGTGGGAATTTAGGAAGCCTGAGTGTGGAAATACAGCAGCCTTTGGAGTGCCCTCTGTTAATTTGGATGGATCTAAATGTGCCCCATTTACGACATCTCCACTAAGCCCTTCTAATCTTGTGCTTTGCTCTTCTTGACTTTAATTAGCATCTAGGAAAGTCTGAACTTGGGACCTACCTCTTCTTTTGATACTTATTTTTGTACTTTTGCTCTCTGGGATTGGTTTCATAAACAATCTGGATCCTTTTTAATATGTCAAAATGAGTCGGCTGATGTTTACACAACTACTGCTCTGTGGATTTTTGTATGTCCCGGTTAATGGTAAGTTGAAAATGTTTTTTATTCACCCCTTACCCCGGAAATAACCCCATTTTTTTCTGAGTGGGATGTGGGCTCAAATAAAGTGGAATTATATGTATAAGCCCCTATTGGCCAGGCATGGGGGCTTTTGGGGGGCAGAGTTTGTCTTTTGTTTCTAAGCGGCTGCAAGTGGAACGTGTTAGTAGTTACCTAGTGGGGATTTTTTTGTACTTAATTAATGAGGAGTTGGATAATGAATGATGGGCTCTAGTTTTGTTAGAAAAGACTTATTAAAAGAAACCTCTTGCAACAGTCGGATACTGTGGTGCCCGATCTCTGTTTGGGGTTCTTGCATCTGAACTTTGGCTTAGAAATTCAAGTGGAGAAAAACAGTAATGGATATTCCACTGAAGGTTCATTGAGTTAGGAATGTGGGACAGAGCCTCTGAGGGATCAGTGTGTATCACCGTCCTGCTGGTGAGTGCCCTCCTAGTGTGAAATCAGAATGAAGAATTTAGATCATAAAGAGAAAGCTGTCAAAAGTAAGACTGGGCGAGGCTCCAAGGAGGGAGAAGCATAAGCTCTGGGCGGGCTTGGGGCATCTCTGTGGCCAGTGGCAAACACAATGGGGATCTGAAACAGGTGCTGGGGGTGTCTCCCTCTAGGTTGAGTCAGTCTGTCAAGCCGCCAGCATTCTGCCTCCGATTCTCCTGTCTTTTGTTCATTTTGTTTTCCTGGGATATTTTCATAAGATGTCAGTTTCCTGTGAGAGGATTGCAAAATCCTTCTTGTGGAGCTGTTTTAAATGACAAGTGGAAGTAATTATTAACATGCTTTATTGTTTCTTCACAAAAAGAAGTCAAAAGGACATTTGGTATTAACCTTCTAGGGACTTGAATTTTTGCATCAATGGAAAAAATTGATCTAAAGAAAAGACTAGAGCATGGTCTCCTCCCCTCCTGAATATGGGGATTATAGTACTTCAGTTTTTAAATTGCTGGGCTTGTAAAGAATAGTACCAGTACAAAGGTGTATTGGTCCAAATATTTGAACCATTATAGTTGATAATTGTTACATAAACTTTCCTCCAGCATATGCTTTGTGGACAAATACATTATTTGGGACACTGCCTATCTTTGCCCGCCTGTAGGAGCTAACTTTGTTCTTGGCAGCTGCTGCTGCACAGAACCCAATGTATTGGACTCAGAAAGGAAGCCTTTCTATAAACATGAGGCAATACAGATGAATTTACCTAGTGTCAAGTGGCTGTTTTCAATCATGGACTACATGAGTACCTTTGCCTCTCAGCAGTAGTAGGCAAGGCATTCATGTGGGCACACGGCTTCTCTCTTTTTTTCACTTCTAAGTAATGGATGTTTAGAAATTAATCATTGTGAATTATAGTATGGCCATATCTATAATCATATGTAATCATTCACCATGCATTTTCTTTAATACATTTACCTTTACAATACATTTACATCTTCATAACAAAAAGGTTTGCATATTTTTTCCAAATATGTTTAGTATTATGATGAAAAGACTTGGATATAACTTTTTGGGAAATATGTTCTCATAAGACATAATTTACATTTTTCAATATCAGAAATACCTGCAGAAACTATAAATTAGACTATAGAATTACACCAAGTTTTTTTTTTTTTTTGAATCTGTGTAGCTTGGAGGAATACAATTGCAATTAAATTGCTCAGTGGAAGTGACAGAGGGAATCAGAAGAGCTTGGTGTTACAGAATGTAATTAATGTACCAGAGTGTTTGGAGATATATGAAACAAATGCAATTAACCAGCCTGCTGGAACAGCAGTAGCAAGACATCATTTCTCTGCTTCCTCCCTCCCTCCTATCCTGCCTTCCTCCCTTCTTTCTCCTTCATTTCCTCCCCCCCACCACTTCCTCCCTCCTCCCCCAGAGACACACCTAGGACCTTTGTTTTGATATAATTTTATAGGATAAGGGTAAAGGGGGGGTTGTGTCTGGGGCACAATTATGCAGTAGAATTCATAATAATATAGTAAAAAATGCCTAGGGCTGAGGAATTGTAAAGGTAACATTAATTTTTTTTGTGTATGTGAAACTTATTTTTGTATTTAGCATCTACCATGTCAAAAGCAAAGAAAGCTGTGGACACTTACTAAATTCCTATGTAAATCGCACTGTTGACATTGGATTGCCTTTGCTTTACTCCGGAATGATGACAGCCTCTCTGTGAGGATCGTTGAAAATTTGGGATGTAGACAACACTGCCCTCTAGGCTACTTCAACACACTGGGACCCAGTGTTCACAAACATAATGAGGCAGTTGCTTGGTCGGCTCTCTACGCTTTCTTACTCTTCCAGAATGCCATGATTTCTCTTTACTTATTCTCCTTCTAAGAAGTGTGTGCTCATTCTCTCCATGAATTTCAGATTTAGAGAGGCTTGTACCATTTCAAAGATATACTGACTATCCTGGTGCTAGACACAAAAATTAATTTTATTCAGTGACAAATGATACATAGATTTGCATTGAAATTTGCTTGGTGGGTTATTTATATGTGCATTTTTATGGTATACGAAAAACGTTAGCCTTTTGCCTTCTGGTAGAAGGTACACACTAATATTATTTATGATTTTTTAGTATCTTGTGTAGGAATCCATAGAGAATAAATATTAAGTTAGTTGAGAACTACAGGCAAACTTTTCTATTTGGGATGTAAATGCGAATTTTCTCATTTGATACAGTCAAAATCAAATGCAGATTTTTCTTTACTGTTGGTAGGAAAATATGTATTGAGCTTAGCCTTTGTTCTCCAAATTTTCCCTATATTTTAAATAGGAATGTGGTTTTACAGTCATTTACAGGGAACTAATATGAACCATCACAAGACTCTATAATTACATCTATGTCCCATGCATTCTGCCAGTTCAGTAATTTTATAATACCTGTAAAAAGATGGTTTTTTAAATGAGAATAGTTTTCTTCTCTAAGCCTCAAATATTCTTAAGTGAAAATGAAACACATGATGTTTGGGAAGATAAAGATAATATGTGTGCATAGTGCAGATATATAATCTTATACAGGTTTATACATTTTGCTAAAGTGCTTCTTTCAGTAATGGACTCATTATTGCAGCCATATGTAGTCCATTTCAGAACTTAAATTGCATATAAGTAACTTGAAATTTGTTCTTGGGACTGTGCAGTAATATCATATTTGAATTGGCTTTGTTTGAATAACCTTTGAATCTAGGCAACATGTGTACCATAAACCAAAAGGATTTCTTAGAACATCAAAAAAGACTATTGTAAAGAAAAAAAAGAAGTCATGGTTATATGAAAAGAACAAGTCTGGCCATCTCATGACTGAGAAGCTTGTATAAAATAGCATCAGTGATAATAAAAATATGGATATATAAGCATTTGCATAAATTTGGATACATATATAGTAGTGAGGGAAGCTCATGTATGTGGGCTTTGTATAGTAATATGTGCTTCAGTAGTTCTTGAAATATGTAGAAGATAAATTTGCTTTCTATGTGCAATTTGGTTTTTGAAGGGTGTTTGAAATGTTTTTTCAATTTATTTCTCGTTCTACTCCATTTCTTTCCCTCCTCCTCTCTTCCTTGTCCTCCTCTTCCTCTTCCCCACCCTCCACCCCTACCTCCCTTTCCTCCACCTTCTTTTTTTGGACCTGGTGGAAAGAGTTAGAGAACATTTTAAAAATAAAGAACACAGGTGAAGGTGTTTCTTTAAGTACAGATTTAGAAAATCTGAACTTAAAAGAAATATGTTAATAATGTTTTACTCTTGGATATATCCCATTGGGTTCTTGACTTTATCATTTTTCTTTTACAATACTATATAGCTTCATGAAAACTTATTTTGTATAGATCTTATCTTTTTCCAGTTTAGGCAGATGGAAGTCTACAGATCAGAGTTCAAGAGACAATGGAAACTTACAGAGCATCATTTTACAGGTTTATTTTTAAAGAAAAATATTGTTTCTTATAGTATCTCCAGGTATGGACCTATCAACCTAAATCAATACATTGATATTGATTTTCTTCTTCATTTAAATTATTGAATAAAACATGAATGAATGATAACGTAAAGTCTTTCAGGAGAAATTCCCATAAACTCTTTTAATGTGGCAGCTGTGTGTTATATCATAACAGATCTAATATATCATATAAAGTGTAGCTATCTCACTCAAAATACCTAACTGTAATTCAAAACCGTTATTCCTAGAGATAAGAGTAAAGTAGACCTCAAGCCTTAGTGTTTTCTGTTCCATTTGCACCTAATTACGTCTTTCGTCTAGTTGTGTGGGTTTTGAATCCACCTTTGAGCTTATACTTCTCAAATTGCCCTAATCACCGTGTGGAAGAATGTAGGTTCTGTGAGTCTACAGTGTGTCTTACATCATTGTGGCTTCAGTACCTGGAACAGTCCTTGACATATCCAGGTGACCATTTGACATCTTTGCCTGATAATCAGACTGTATACATCAGACTGAAGCTGGGGATAGAAACTGAAGCCTGGAGATAGAGCATCTCCAGCTCAGTAAATGGCATCACTATTCACAGAGGATCATTCTTGACTGGCACTCACTGCCCACGTACAAATTGTAAGTTAACTCTGTTGACCATAGACAACGTCAGCCAGATATTTCTTCAGCAAAATAGGTTTATTTGGGAACAACATGCAATCATGCAACCAAGATGAGCCATGTGGAAGTTCAATTAAAGAAGGGGAAGGTCTTTTATTATAGAGGGGGAAAGAGAAGGTAGGAAGAGCTATTAAATTTTCACTCTTGTGCTTCTTGATTGAGGCAGGGAGAGCTTCCCATTCCGGTCTCCCTACTTCAGTTTAAATGTGGTTTCTGTTAATTATTTTTCACAACCTTTTGAGGTATATCCTGGTATTAACAATTTTATTTGTGTGTTTGTGATTTACTCCTAATTTTTTATTATAAGGATTTTCAAATGTACAGCTAAATTGAAATTATTGTAAGGTGAACA